GTTCACCAGCAAGCGCGGCCCCCGCACCTACAACAAGGGCCGCGGCGCCAAGAAGCTGGGCGTGCTCACCTCCAGCAAGAAGTTCGTCCTCATCAAGCAGATGGTGCCCCACTTCGTCGTCCCCGACCTGCAGGGCTTCAAGCTCAAGCCCTACGTCTCGTACCGCGCTCCCCAGGGCGCCGAGCCGCCCATGACAGCCAAGCAGCTCTTCACCGAGGTGGTGGCTCCCCGCATCGAGAAGGACGTGAAGGAGGGCACTTTTGACCTCAACAACCTGGAGAAGTATGGCTTCGAGCCGACGCAGGAGGGCAAGCTCTTCCAGCTCTTCCCCAAGAACTACGTGCGGTAGGAGCAAGCAGCGGGATGGGAAGACCACCGCTGTCATATGGGACACGACCTGCGCCAGCAAGAACGGGACAGCTTCTGTCACTGGCTATTAAAAGCAAATAATCCTTGGGCTTTGTCTTCCTGCAATGTCTGATTTAAATTGCTGGGGGGAAACGGGTGGTTAATTTCCCATCCCTGAGTAAGGAGAGCGTTACTCGTGTCTTGCACCCTGTGTAGCATGCGGGTATCCCGTGCTTAGACCAGAGCTGACTGACCAGGTGCTGATCATTAGCAGGAGGCAGTTTCCCTCCAGGCTGCTGAAACATCATTCCTTCCTCCTGGGAACAAAAGGGGACAAGTCTTACGTTCTTGGGAGAGCGGAGTTTCCCAGCTGGGGAGAGCAGGCCGCTGCCAGCCGAACAGCGTGCCCACTGGCTCTGAGTGGCAGCTGCAGCCACAGAGGGAACGCTTTGGTAGATTTACCCCCTGCTCAAACGAAGTGTTCCACTAAACCAGGAGCGAGACTTTCCCAAGCTTTAAAACTACTCTTTCTTTCAGAGTAAATCCAGATATGGTTAATAGGTACATTTAATGCCCGTTCCTTAGCAGTGCAGCAGCTTCAAGTTACAAGATAACTGGTCAAATTTGAAACATGTCTCAGCAATTGTTCTTTGTGGACATATACTGGTGGAAGAGCAGTGTCTTGCTCTTCATCAAATTAAATGGATACAAGTGACACAGAGTTGTGTGGAACTGTTTGAAGTACAAACTGCTAAGTTCCAAATGTTTACAGTCCTTGGAAATAACACCTTTTCTCTGACACACAAGTGCTGGAGTCTTGGAGACTTTGATTCTTTGAGACAGTTCTGTGCCTGGAGAGCGTAGCCATCCCAAGGGATGCTCAGGGAGGAGGTCTGCATGAGGTTTTCCAAAGACAAAGTACTGCTTAAGCATTAGAGAATTAAAATGCAGCTTAAATGTTCTCTTTTGGAGACAGTTCTCTGTGAGCATCCAGTCTGTAATGAAGACTGACAGATGAGTCCTTAAAGCATTGTTTTAAAAAAAAAAATAGAGGGCTGAATAGGGCTGTGACGGCAGGGAAGGGATGCTGCCTTCCTCTTCATAGGGCTGCAGCCCCAAATAACCGGAGAAGCCGTTCGCATGCGTTGGCACAGAATCACATCCGTAGTGGGGTGAGGGAAGGCGCATTTTTTTCTGATTACTTAAGCCCGACCTGCATTTTTCACTTACTTTTCAGCTCATCAGAGTAATAGTCATACGAAAAGTGGTGGTTTTCTGCTTTCTGGATGCTGTTCTGTCAGCAGAGGTGGTGCTTGCTCATGCTCTCCAGGACACGCGTTTGCAGTTGATTGGAGGGGGTGGAGGACAGGTGAACACACAGCTGCAGAGAGGAGACCCTGCACGCTTTGGTGCCAATACCAGCTTGGTCTCGAACAAGTCGCTTGCCTCATCTTCCCTCCGTGATGGCAGATTGTAACAGGAGACGACTCCTTTCTCGGGGCAAAGCCAGGACTAGCATAACGCATAAATGGAGTGCCTCGGTTTGGCCACACTCTGGGACACCACCCCAGCTTCACTAACCCCAGGCTGTTTCCTCTGAATCTCACACAGCAATAAAAAAAGCATTACAACCTTTTAAGACAGAGTCACAGTCAAAAGCCGTGTCACTACACGGATACGCCCTCGGTGCTCTCGCCGAGGCGGGAGGAAACTGGATTGTCTACTCTGACTCCCAAAGAACATTCAGCACCACCAAATGCCTCAGAGAAACTGAGCCATCACGGGACAAGGAGGAAGGTCCTCACAAGGACTAACTGGGAAGGGCTTTTTAAATACAAAACAACCAAGAAAGATACATCACTTATATTGATTTTATTTTAGAAACATCCAAAAATAGGGTGTTTGTGGGTTTGTTTTTTTTTTAACAAAAGCTCTTGTTCACAATACCAGTATGAATCTTCATCTAACAGCGCTCAAGAATGTTTTCTAAAATACACATTCACACTTGTAAAAGGAATTTCAAAGCAGTAAAATTCTTATCTGCTGTACCTCGTTTTAGATGCAGCACTGTTACAGATAGATACCTGTTGCTGGTGTTTCGTTCCCTCCAGGCAACTAATTCTTTAGGACCCTCAAAGAGAAACCATGCAAGCTAGAAGTTACTGACTTTGTTTAAGCTGTTTTTTTGTTTCTAGGAAAATAATAGAGAAACTGTTCCAGAAATGGTGTTTTGCTGATATTTCACAGTGAGAAAAAGAAAGCTAATGGAGCAACCATGAGAAATTCTGCAGCCATTCCTGGAGGTAGTTAGGGCAACGTTGTTAAGATTTTGGTTTCTGTACTTAGTTATTTTGAACTTAAAAGATATCAGGAAACACTGCTTGTACTTTTTGGACATTTTGATCTTAAAGCTGTTCACCTTTAAAAAACTGAAAGGTCTTGACTTTGGACCTAAACGTATGTCTGACTGTGGAGAGCAGAACACGAGTTGGATACGAGAGGCATGGCGGAGGTGGTTACGTGTGGCACGAAAACACAGAGGGGCTCACTACAAGCTAAACCAGGTTGTGCTTAGCTTGGAGAGTGATAAAGTGAGACTGCAACCAGGTGATGAGTCTGATGTGAAATTAGGCTGTGCAGATACACCAGAATCCTTCCGAGAAAGGCCCTGCTCAGAACAAAGCTTCCTGTCGCCAAACTGCTGTCTGTTGTACTGGTCAGTTTGGATTTCCTTCTAAAAACTCTCTGTTCTCTACTAGAGATCACTATAAGCACACTGCACTGTCAGCACCTGGACTTTGAGTGTCCTTGTGCTCAAAGTACTAATTTACAGATCACACAGCAAGCTACACACACACAGCTCAGCCTCTACTCACAGGCTGTTCCGAGACACCCAGGGAAACCTCTGATCACACACCGTGTTTGTCTACACCGAGCAGCGCAGACAAGTCTGGTTCGTGATGGAGGAGCAGAATGGGCTTAACAGATGAACCATATCCATGCCAACCAGCCTTGGGGGATTCAAATATAAGGTACAAGCAAGCGGCCTTTGCAAGGAAGGCTCTCCTACTTCGAACTAGTACACTAAGGGAAAACTAAATAAACGTGTCTGTGCTTGACCACGCTCCTCAAAGCAAAGGCTTTCCTCAGTGCTGAAAATAAAACACCAGTAATTCCATCAGTACCGGCCTTAAAAGACTCACGAGCTCAACAATAAAACTGGAAAAGCCCAACAGGAATTAGACAGGGCATAAGCTCAGGTGTCACTCTCAGTACAGGAGTTTTCCGACCCGTCTCCCTTGGGACTGCTCAATGCAAGCTTTCAACTGTTCTTTCAGAGACAGATCTAGTACTTGGCGTCTCCGAAGGGGCCACCAGGCTCATCTCCCACTTCCACACATGGAGGATATTGTCATAGAAAGAACAAGTTGCTACAATGCTCATTTCTTTCGGGCTGTCTAAAGACCTGGTTGAATCACTGCTCCTGTCCAGGCCCGTTCCATTGGGTCTCTTAGCTCCTGAGTCAGAACCACGGGCTGACTCGGGATCTCTGCCTCGGTCAGGACCCCCAGCCAAATCGGAACTCCCCTTTAAATCAGGGCCCCTAACCAGGCCAGGATCCCCAGACAGCTTAGGACCCGCCTCTGCTTCGAGCGACGCGGCAGGGCTTTCACTCTCCTCGTCCAATATTACATCAAAAGTAGCTGTAGGAGACTCATAAATTATCTTCAGGTTTTGGACCTGCAAATTCAGTCTCTCATCTCCTTCCTCTGATCTTCCCACAAGCTCCTCCGAAGACTGGCAGGCAGCAAAGTCCTGTGTCACAGTCAAGGAATCCCTTGGACACAGCCTTGACCAGTCAGCCCCGTAGGCCAAGGAATTGTGCAAGACATAGGATGACAGGATGATACATTCCTCCGTGTTTTCCGCTTTAAAAAAATAATAAAAAATAAAATTAAATGAGCAGAAATAAAGTTGTGAAATGTTTTGTTGCAGACTGCTCAGAAGCCATTCTAGCACTGGCTATGTCCTACAGCAGGAAGAGCTCTCTGGTTATTGCCTTCTTCTCAACAGACTCAGACATTCTAGGAGAAACAAGCTTCTGGCTCTCCTGACAATTTTTCAGTCACCTCTCATTGACCTTGATTTTCCCCTGGTTCAATAAGCAGGTGGGAGAAGAGGGTTTAATGGGCACCAGGGTTAAGGGCCTCATTATTCAAAATACCTAAAGAGGCTCAAGACAGACAAGACAGATCACACCGTGGTCCCCACCGAGCCACAAACACACCTGGCGAGATCACCACGCCAGGTTTGGTTAGTAATAAACTGCAGATGTGTTCTTCGCGTGGGCTTTCAGAGTCAAATGCTTACTCTGATA